AGCGTGCCGAAGGCCCGCTCGCTCAGGAAGCGCAGGCCGTTGCGGTCCAGGTCGATGGAGGCCGCCTCGCACGGGAACTCGGCCGGCACCCTGAGGAGGCCCGCGCGGTCACAGCGCACCGAGCGGCCGCGCTCCACGCTGCTGCAGGAGCAGGCGGCCGGGCAGGCGCGCCCACAGGTCCCCGCGACCCGGGCACTGGGCAGGCCAAGGACCACCGCTGCGGGTGGGAGCAGGGGTGAGGGGATCGGAGGGAGGAGGAAAGACAGAAAGACCAAGTCAGCCACGGGTTGCTGCAGGTAAAACCCGACCTGCCCAGGGAGCAGGATGTGGACCCTGCACCAAGTTCCCCTGCGTTCTGCAAACGGTCCCTTCCCACCGCCTGGGCTTCAGACAGGTGTTCTCACCTACGACGCCCTCTCTTTTGCTTTCCAGTTACGTCAATCAACAAAACCCTGCTGTTGATTGACCTCATCTGATCCCTGCCTGTATCGTCACTTGTGTGCTCCTGGAAGGTGGCCCGGGGTTTGCTGTCTGCATGCCTGGGGGACCTCTGCCGAGGTGGCACTGTGTGGCCTGTGCTCTAGGCTGGCGCTGCCCAGTAGGGTACCCACTAGCCACGTAAGCTGTTGAGCAAGACACATCAGCTCTCAAAAGTACCCCCCCAAAAAGAGTAAAATACAGCATCAATAATTCATGTACTGGAGCCAGCAAATGACTTAGCAGTTAAGGTGCTGACCTCCCGCATGGCTGACCAGAGTTCAAGTCCTTGACCTGGTGGCTTGAAAATCATGTGGGTGCGTGTAGGCGTGTGTCCAAAATCCCTAGAGGAGAATGGAGAAGGGATTGCAGTGTGGTCATCCTGGGTGTGTGTGTGTGGGGGGGGTGGGGGTTCTCACTTTCCTTCTGTGTGTGTCTGTCTGTCTGTCTCTCTCTCTCTCTGGTGAGTGCATGCACCTAATAGCAAACAACCTTAAAAATAAAAATTCGTATACTGATTACACTTTGGATTCTGTGCAGTCCACTCCTTTAGAGTCCCAGACCCAATGGCTTGAAAATATCACTGTGTGTGTGTGTGTGTGTGTGTGTGTCCAAAATCCAGAGGGAGAATGGAAGAGAAGGACTTGACCCATAGCCATGGGGGTGAGATGGGGTGT